CTAAACCCTAAAACCCCCAACCCCAAACCTCAACAGGGCTCTCCGAAAGTGTATCGAACGACGGGCTTGGACCTTGTGAAGAATGCATGGCCAGGGGCGATGCTCAGCCAGAAGGAACGTTACGGTTTAGGGTTTAGGGTTTAGGGTTTCCGACTTAGAGTTTAGGGTTTAGGGTTGAGGGCTCCGTGGATCCAAGAGGCTTTCCATGCTTGAGATGTGCGGGCAGGTAAACTCCAACAGCGTTTCTTGCAATTTGAACAAACACTCCGTAGCATCATTGAACACTCAGCTTGGTCGAGCATATCAGTAGCTGCAGCAGGAGACGCCAAGAAGCCACAACAGACACACACACACACACTATATTAATATTGTACATTCTATTCGATGTTGAACTATGTATATATATATATATACACGTATATGTAATACATATATATATATACACACACGATATCTTCCAAGAGAGGCTCTGTGTGGGAAGACATCTAAGGGCCTTCGTGTCGGCGGAAGAGTGGCCCAAAGAAATCCATGATCAGATTCTTGATGACCTCCAGGAGCATCGGGTTTAAGGGTTTAGGGTTGAGGGAGATTTAAGCTAAACCATAAACCCTAAACCCTAAGCCCTAAACGAGATTCTTGATGACCTCCAGGAGCACGTCATGAACAGCCCGGGGGAACACTGGCTCAACTTGGAGCTGCTGACGCCTGGGTGTGCCAAGCAGGTTCTGGGTATAATATTCTATGACACACCCATAATACACGGTAATATACCATCATATCCTAGACTATACTATGATACTATAATAGCAGGTTCTGGGCCTCTATGAGGACATCTGCAGAAGGTGCAGACAGAAAAATAAAGCTGCCGGAATTCGGCAAGGCGAACGCCAGTTGCGATCCTCGGCCTGGTATCTGTGTCACTGTTGGGTAGCACTTTATATACATGTTTATGGATATAGGCTTTTAGGATCTAGGTTTACGGTTTAGGGCATGGGTACTTAAACCGAATAAGGAGTAGAAGTTAGAGTCTGTATCTGATCAAGGTATCCCTTTACATGGGGCGGGAATCTGGGAGCCAGCGAGAAGCCTGAGTTTCAGATTGGATTGCAGATGGAACGGCAATGGCTGGATGCCCTGGCATACTCCGAGAAGCAAGCCATCCTTTGGGCAGGGTTTTGGGAGGGAGAAAGCTCGGGACGAACTACCAAGGAAGCACTCTTTCAGTTTGCAGATCTACTGGACAGGCAGACTGTGCATCCAGGTACAGAGCTTGGCCAATTGGTTGAGAAGCATGACGGCTTGGACCAGTGCAGCTATCAACGTACGCACGAACGAGAGCTACTCCAAAATTTCTGGACGTGGGCCAGTGCTTCCTTCGTAAGGGGCATGGTGCGGCATGGGCAGGAAAGCATCGTCGCCTTCGTCAACAAGGACGTTGAGGGACCTCGTGCTCTCAGCAAGTCCGTGCTTGCTCAGTGCGAAATTCCGAGTATAGGCCAGATGAGTCTTTTCGCAGGTTGGACGCCGCATGTTGTCCTAGTGGACTTGAAAGGCACTTGCAACATTACGAGCCCATTCCTGCAACGGCGCCTGGTGTCCCAAAGCATGTTGGGATTCCGTTCAAAGTCGTCTGTCGTCCGAACTATTGGGGGCATCCAGTGGTCATGTGTAGATTGCTCGGAATCTGACGGTTGTACACTGGATGCATCCCTGGCAGAGTTCCTGAAGGCGGAGCTTGCTGGTCATTGAGAGGCATTGTAGCTGCAACCGAGATGCAAGCTGCGAGACTTGGGCCCCGGATGACACCCCTCCCCAATGGCCATCCACTTCATGCAGTTGCGAAAGACCAGCAACACATCTTTACTTGCTGACCGTGGCACAGCTCAGCATTTAAGCCTTTGCTGCTAAACCCTAATCCCTAAGGCCCTAAACCCTTAAGCCCTACGCTTGCCAATCGTGACGTGAAGATCACAGCAGTGACTATTGGCCCTTGTGAAGCTCACTTATGAAGCCTTCTGTCAGGCAGGGCAGAAGGGTAGCGTGGGGGTAGATTTCCAGGACTTCGTGTTGAGTCTCTTAGTTCTCTTCGCCAGCGATTTTTTTTTTTTTTTTGTGGTGGGGGGGTTAAGGGGTGTAGCAGTTAAGGTCTAGGCTTCCTAAACCCTAAACCATGAACTTGGGGCTTCAAGGTTCTTGGACCCCCAAGACACTAACTAAACACCCATCACCTGTTCAATACGAGGGTCTGGTCTGAAAGTTCTGAATCTGACGGTTTTGCCTCCGATGTTTACGAAAGGGCCCGCAAGGCATCGCTTTTCCATCCGCTGATGGCTCAAGCTGCTCTTTGTGGCGCCGGAGGTTTGCCAAACCTAGGGCTCTGAATAGCCAGCAATCGTATTCCCGTACACTTCCTAGTCCCTATACACCTCGAAGCCCTAAACCCTAAACCCTACACCCTAAACCCTAAACCCTAAGCCCTAAACCCTAAACCCTAAACCCTAAACCCTAAACCTCGAAGCCCTGTTCCAACAAAGGGCTCACTGCTACATTAAGCCTACATGAGCCTTGTTCAGGCCTATAACAACATGTCAGGCTTTACCCTAAACCCAAAACCCTAAACCCTAAACCCTAAACCCTAAACCTTGAACCCTAAACCCTAAATCCTAACCCTAAACCCTCAACCCTCAAACCTCAACCCCAAGCTCTCAGCTTCTTTGCACATTAGGGTTTTGATGGTTGAGGGCTCTATGGTCCAGGACTTATGGTTCGGGGTCTGAGGGTTTGAGGGTTTTAGGCCTTAAAACCTAAACCCTAAGCTCTAAACCCTAAACCCTAAGGCTTTTGAGGCTTCGAGGTTCAGGGCTTTAAGCCCTTAGCCCCTCAACTCCCAGCCGAAGCCCATTACTTCGACCTTCATCCGCAAAGGCGGACGTGCACTTTTAGGGTTTAGGGTTTGCACCCATGGCTTTTTTTCTGTAGTCGTTGGGGTTTTGCGCGGTCTCACCTTGAAGGATTGAAATCCGGACGATTTGAGACCTTTGCCTTGCCTAAGGGTGGTTTTGGTCTTTAACGAGATTCGGTCAGTCTGTCCGTAATGGCCAAACGCGCAACCCTAAACCCTAAATTAGGGTT